CTCAAACAATATTATAATACTCCAAAAATACTATAATACCCCAACAATACTATAATACTCTAACAATACTATAATACCCCAAAAAACTATAATGGTTCAACAATATGATAATAGTCAAACAATACTGTAATACCCCAACAGTAATATAATACTCCAACAATACTATAATACTCCAGCAATACTACAATACCCCAACAATACTGTAATACTCCAACAGTACTATAATACTCCAACAACACTATAATGGTTCAACAATATGATAATAGTCAAACAATGCTGTAATACCCCAACAGTACTATAATACTCCAACAATACTATTATACTCCAGAAATACTACAATACCCCAACAATACTGTAATACTCCAACCGTACTATAATACTCCAACAACACTATAATACACAGTCTTTGCTTTGTCGTGTGTAGAATGATGGAGGAAAAACAACCTTTTGAGGTATGAGCTATTTAGGCTTTTCAGTTCTGTGCTGTATCAGAAATGGAAAATGTATTACATAAAATCAACTTATAAAGGCAGCATATAATTAAAAAAAAACATTTTAGCTTCCTTAAGGCTTTAGTAGCTGTTACAAGCCACTGATTTGTGTTACAGCTCTTCTCAAAAAGCCATAAATCGACTGAATGGCTTTGCTATAAGCTGTTCTCTTGTGCAGCTGTGCCTCCACCTCTAGACATTTAGCAGTTTTGTCAGGTCAGTCAGCAGAAAGAGGTTAACAGAGTGTTTGCTGTGGTGCTGTCACAGTTTCAACTCATCGATTTGTACTGACCTGTCTGTATTTTCTCCTCCTGTTTGCCTTTTCCAGAAGCGAATCCTGGATGGAAGCTTGGGTTTTGCAGCTGGGGTGAGTTAATTTCTTCTTAACTGAAATGTGCACTCACACATGTCACTCATGTGGGAGGATGCTGCGCGGCGGGGTGTTCACAGTGTTCAACCATGGCAGGTGGAGAACGTTTCAGACACAGATAAAGTTAAATACAGATAAACTCTGACACTTCAAGACGCCACTTTTAATTTCAATACATTTCAGATAAGTGATCCACTTTAGCAGAACACGTCTTTATCACGACTATAGAGGTATTATGCTGCTCCAGTTGGAAAGAAATCCAATAGAACCCCTTTATCTGGCACTTTTATTACATTCTTTGATTTCTTGCAGGGGACTGTGTTCTTAGCCAAGTAAACCCAAGTGGAATAAATCTCATTAAATTCAAATACAAACATGAAAGTTAAAGAATGGTGGTACAGTAGTCCTTTGCTACTTCACGGTTCGTTTATTGCGGACTCGCTCTATTGCGGTTTTTCAAAATAAGATTGGACATGACACACAATTGGCTGATTGATGGATGAGGCACACGATCAGCATGACTTTTTTATTTAAAATAAATTATTTTAAATTCTTTAGCACCTCCTGCACCTCTGTTCTGCTCACACTGCAGGATAAATCTTTGTGCAACTTAGTTCGTTGTGGCGACCTCTGAAAAAGGAGCAGCTGGAAAAAAAGTATCAAATATCAATATTAATCAAATAGGTAATTATGCTTTTATTTTCTTGGTTTTTCAAGTTCTTAGCAAACACTGAAAGTTTTTTTCAAAAATCACTGTTTCCTATTTTTTTCATTCATTCAACCTTTATTTCTAGAGTTCTAGAGTTTATTTCTTTAGTTCTAGAATTGCGCCGCTCAAGGTGGCTGCATGTTGGAGCAGCTCTGTTACTTTCATTCTGAGATTTTGCTTTTGGAAATTTTAATTCCTCTTTTTCTGGATGTAAATCACAATTTTTGAATGATTGTTTCCTCTGGTATCGGATGCTGTGCAGCTGGAAGGATTTTTACTAAAACTTTTTTAGTTTTGGACATTTGTTATGATGCGTAACCATGGCAACAATGCAGTTTTCTACAACAACAGCAGCTGAATAACATCTCAAAAGCTCAAATAATATCTCAACTACAGCCCAGGATGTTCTGTGGATGCATTCTCTTCTACCTGCCAGCTGTGCTCGAGTGCCTGATCACTGAGATCCTGGAACTAGCAGGAAACACGGCTCATGACAGTGGAAGGACAGGATTGTCCCTAGGCACCTACAGTTGGCTGTCCACAGCGACAAGCTCTGCAGACTGCTGGGAGGAGTGACCATCGCACTGGGAGGAGTTCTGCCCGGCATTCGGGTGGTCCTACAGCCTGGGGGAACCGAGAGGCCAGCTGAGTCTGGGTGGACGGATCGGACGGCATCTACAGCCAGTTTCTTAGGATCCACTGTGGGATGGACCTTTACAAGAGATCCTTCCTGCCTACAGCCATCAGTATTTATAACATCTCTTAATGAAATGAGGATAATGAGTTACAAAAATAAATAATTTCCCTTTGGGAATAAAGTATTTTTGAATTTTGAATTTGAATTTGAATTTACACAGGTTAGTCCCGTTGAGTCTCGGGGACTCATTTACAAGAAAGACCTGATTTTAACAAAGAATGATGACAACAGTGGACAACAAAGACAACAGTAGACAATCATAAAAGAAGGCGTACTAATTGAGAATAACGAAAGAAAATGGTATTAAGAAAATGAAACAAAAACAGTTAGCTTGTAAGGCAGTGTAGAAAACTAAAAACAGGAACATGTCTGCACTGATTTTTACCATGAACTTAGCAGATGTTTGAAGCCACTTGGAGAGGTTAAGGTTGAGAGCTTCAGGTCTTTTTGCAAGATATTCCAGGAAACAGGAGCGAAGTAGGAGAAGGCCCTTTTGCCAAGTTCAGTTCTCACTGAGGGAACACTGCAGGTAATAATGTCCTGAGAGCGCACGCTGTAGCTGCACTCATGCAGTGATATGTAGGAGGATATGTATGTACAGGTCCTTCTCAAAAAATTAGCATATTGTGATAAAGGTCATTATTTTCCATAATGTAATGATAAAAATGAAACTTTCATATATTTCACATTCATTGCACACCAACTGAAATATTTCAGGTCTTTAATTGTTTTAATACTGATGATTATGGCATACAGCTCATGAAAACCCAAAATGCCTGTCCCAAAAAATTAGCATATCATGAAAAGCTTCTCTAAACAAGCTATTAACCTAACCATCTGAATCAACGACGTAAC